CTCTTTCCCTCGGGCAGCTGCCGGGGCCGCTGAGCCATGCCCGGCCACCCAGAGCCTCTGCACTGCCATCGTGGAGGCGCTGCTGCCCAGGGAAGGGCTGTTTGGCTCGGGCTCTCAGCGCCTTGGTGGGGCCTTCAGGAACGCCCCAGCTTTCCCGCTCGAGGCCAAGCATCCTCGGTGCTGCAAAGTACCTTCCGCTGGCGAAGGCTGGCTTGGCAACTGCGCTCCCTCCTGCACTGAGCCGGGATGGCCACCGTTGCCCACGCTCCAGCCCTCTTTTCTGTGGGCTGCTGCGGCACGGCACACGTGGGGCTGCTCCCGAAGACTCCCCAGAAACCAGTGAGAAGGAAGGGAGCTGCCAGGGCAGCACTGGGAACGAGTTGCTGGGAACAAACCTGCCCTGCCCGGAAGAAATGCACTGGCCTCACATGCGTGAGCCTGTGCTGGGGTGAGCCGTTCAGGCCCCAGGCAGCTTGCCCGTGGGGTGCCTGCTGGAAGGTCTGCCTGCACGCCAGTCCCCTGGGGGCCTCCTCCAGGGTCCCTGCCGTCCGGGGCAGAGGGGATGGTGCCTGGGGGGAAGGCAACTAAGCTGCGGCCTCCAAGTCTGTGTGACTCTCCCCAGGGATGGAGCTCTCCCCACTGATGCGGCACTGACATTTTCGGAAGCCGGGGAAAGGCCCTCTGATTTCCCTGGAGTTTCACATTCCGTGGAGTTGCATTCTCTGGTTTTGTTGCTGCTTTTCTTCTCCTGGTTTGACTTTTTTGGGGGGGTGGGGGGAGTGATGGATTTCTAGCTCATTGCACATTTGTGTTGCAACTGTGAGGTGCCCTGGTGAACCCTAGATTGAAGACCAGGAGAGAAATGTGATTAATTGACTGACTTGGCACCATTAAGCTAACAAACTGGTGGGTTTGAGGCTCTTGAGGTACCTGCTTTCCTTACTCTTTGTGTGTGTGTGTGTGTGTGTGTGTGTGTGTGTGTGTGTGTGTGTGTGTGGTGTACACAGGGGCTCCTGCACCTAGCCCTGCCTACAAAGCTGCACTTGTCAGAACAGCCCCCTCCTGCCAAATCTGAGAGCTGTGGGGGAAGCCCCTTTGCTGCACCAGAGCATCTTAAACAGTGGAGATGTGCAACGTTTGTGAACAAATCTACAAATGCATGGGCTGAGCAGGGGTCCTGGGGTTACAATAGTGCACAAAAACCACCGCATTCCTGCCTCCGCCACCACCTCTGGGCATCCAACCAGTTCTCTTAGGGCAGGAAAACAAACAACTGAGCTGGAATTCCGGGGAAGGTTCCCAGCTTCCATAGCTGGGCTACCATTAATAGCCTGAAGGGCATTCCCTGGCAGGCGGTAGGTCACGCTCATCGCCATGTTGCAAGAACTTTCACCAGCTTCTACGGACTAAACTGGCACAAAAGCTGCAGGAGCTACTTTCTCCTGGACAGTTGGCAACTCTTTCGTAAGCGCCAACCAAGTGTGCTGCTGGGAGATCCCATGACTGGATAGCCCACATCTTGGAATGGTCACTCACCCCAGCTGTGTGTGCTGCCATCCCCCAGGGAGGTGGCGGGGGGCGGGGGGCAAGGATGCCGCTTTCTGCCCTGACAGCTTCCTGACCACAGTCACTTCTCAACCCTTCCCACTAGGCTCCTGGTTGCCCCACGCCTGGCTGGCTGCAATTTGGGAGGCGGTTGTGGAAGGAATGGATGACACCTCCTACCATGCAATGGTGAACCAGACTGGCTTCAGAAGCGAATGGTAGATCTGCTCAAAGACCTCCCACCATTCAGTGTGGCAGAATTTGGCTGTCAGAGACCTGTCCTCAACAGCTGCCCCCCACCTCTGCTGCACACTTGCCAGTGTTACGTTGCTGTTGTGATCATTTCCAGCGAAGCTAATGAGGTGCTGCGGGCAGGATGGGGGACTCCAAGTTCTTCTCAGCCACAATACTCACTGGGGACTACAGGTCAGGCACCCTCACACCGCACAACCTCCCTGCAGAAGCCATTTGCACTGGGCTTGGATGGCGGGGCAGCCCCTGGCATGTGGCTGGGTCATGCTAGCTGGCGCCCGTGGCTCCCATACAAACCAGGCGGCTCCCTCCTAGCCTTCCTGACCTACCTCGTTTGATGTGAGGATTGGGCAGTGCGTGTGCACATGCATGCATCAGCATGCATATACAATCCCAAGGGTATCCATGCCATAAATCCACAGGCTCAAGTTGGAGAGCATCTCTCTAAACAGACGTGGCCCCCATTCAAAGGAAGCCCATTGGCAGCAAGTTGCTATCTTTTCTCATTTTCCCCATCACGGGAAATCCTCCAAGCAGAGAAGAGTTCGGTGCTTCCTGTTTGCGCTGGAGCCCCCGAGGAATCGCTCCGGCTCTGCCGAATGCTATGAATGCCAGGTGTGTGCGGCCCCCCCTCTCTGGCTGATTGTGGGGCTGCCCAAACCAGCCACAGGAGCTGGTGGTCAGAGGTGCTCCCGTGAGCTTGAGCGCAGCCTGGTGCCACCTGGTAAAAGGCAAGGGCTCCTCCTGAAGGCTGCACTGCCCCTGTGCTCCCCACTCAGGCAGTCAGGAGAGGGGCCTTCCAAGGGAGACAGGGCTGAGTCTGTGACAGGCTGGGTGCTTTGACTGGAAGAAATTCCCCTTCAGCTGCCATGGCAACTTGAGGAAATACCTGCAGGTTTCCCTGAGGAAGAGAGGCTGCTCCAGCCAGAGCATCTGCTGAAGGGAGAGTCTCCATGGTCTCTCGTAGCCTTGGAGGACAAAACAACAGAGAGAAGTGCTTCCCCTCAGCGAGGGAGGGGAAGGAAAGTGGGTGGCAAGTGGGCAGCCCCCTGGGGGCAGGGATCACGAGTCCAGCAACCTTCCGGTCCTGGGAGGGCTTGTCCGGGCCTTTGCACAGCAAGGGAAGCCCGAGCCATTTCTTCATCCCTGGCACTTCAGGCTTCACTCAGCTCAACTGGACCAAACACGTAAACTCGGGAGACAGAATGAGGTTTGCCAACCAGCAATTGCTTCCTAGAAGATTCTGAAAAATGCAGCAAATACCTTGAAATAAATTGAAATCTCTTTCAAAGCATTTTCCATTTGCCCAGCTGCACAACTTTATCTGTAAATAGGGGTGAAATAATACACTTTTGTAGCAGGCAGAATTTGAATCTGTTTGCAAGAGGCATATTGGGTAAATGGGAATGCCCCACAGGATTTTGGCATAGCATCCTAAACAGCACAAACATAGAAAGGTCGGTTCACCTACAAAAGATGAGCATGATCTGACATACACCTCTCCCACAGATATAAACTCACAAGTTTTAGAGTTTTACTCTGATTCATATGGAGACTTTTTCATGTTTGAGTTACTAACAAATAGCAATGTTTGTTTCTTGGCATATGGATGAAATAATGAAAACCTGACAAATACGCTTGCAGGGAAATTACCCAATTCAGCTGGAATTCCAGTTGAGGAGTATAAAACCTCTTCACTCCTTCGCTTTATCATTTTATAGTCACATTTTTGAACCAGGCTTCCTTCCTTCAGCATTAAATGATACTAATATTCCAGTACTTCCCAAGCCTGGGAAAGGTTACATTTATTGCACTATCAATCAGTTTCATTAATTAATGCAGATACTCAAATATTAACTGCCATTCTGCCAGACAGAGTGCAACAATTTATAATGCTGGTTTGATTAGTCCAGGTGGGATTTATCAAACACAGACAGGAGCCTGCTAAACTTAGATGGTTTTAAAGACAGACAGAATGGCCTGCGGAGAGATCTCCACGGGAGCCCCTCCCTTCACAGGGCAGCTGGGTCATGGTATCTCTGCAAAATCTCTGCATTCATCTCAGGTGGGGCACAGAGTGTTTGAAAGCATGACCTTGCATCACATACACATGCCATTTGGAGAGAAGGGGGAGGGGGAGGAGCCGGGAAAGCTAAACTGCCCGTTAAGGCCCTAGGGTTCCCATTTGTCTGGCTTTCAGCTGAAGTACCTATGCAAAGGTGCAGCAATATTTTTAAGAAAGGGAGAAACAGTCAACACCTCCTCCTCCTACTATCTCCCAAAAAATCCTGGAGAAGGAGAACAGGCACCGCTGCTGTCCTCCCACCCCCACCAGGTGAAGCCAGTGGGACCAGCAGTGCACCCTGTCAGAATCTTGGAAGTTCAATTCGTGAGGAGGAAATAAAACTCTGGTTTGTGGAAAGATCAAGCATTCAGACCATCTGTGGCTTGATTGTTTGGCCCAGGTTCCCACAGTAGACTCACGATAATGCATTACCAGGCAGGCAGAGGTAAACTCGCTGCAAGGTTTCAATACAACTACAGGGTATTTTATACCCTCTCGGTCATGTACGCAGGTATAGAGCAATTGATGACAGAATGCAGACATTGCAATAAGATTCTGAGGTCATCACATACAGAGCAGATAAAGGAAGATCAGCCAATCATACAGTGACAATGAGATTGCAATAGTTCTAATTGCAGTTTATCGACACTTTAGTTGATTAACTTGAAGGTCTGCTGAGACTTGTATATTCAAGCTACTGAGAAACTATTCATGAACTCATAAGCTCATCTAGACTCAGACCCTAAGTAATGCATCCGCACCATTCTGAATGGCCAGGGCACAGGGAGTCTCTGGGCTAGCAAAATAGATACTTCCTGGTAAACAGTGAATTCCAACAAGGATTATTTAGTAATTGTGAAGGTATATAATGTATATTTGGACTGAATGGCCTGTCTGCTGTAGCTTACAGCCAAAGGTGAGAGAAAGGAGCAGGGGAGGAAGGCCATTTTAAACAGTGACTTAGCTTGGAAAGCTGGTGCTTTTGAGAAGGAGTGCAGGATTGATTCTACAACGCAAAAGCACACAGAAGCAATGTTTTTCTGCCAGGACATATCCAAATTTTCCTAACCCCCCCCCCCCCCCGTCACAGCCCCGAAAGTGGCCAGCATGGGCAGATTGGCGGAATGCTTCCAATTTTGCAGCGTTTGCTCAGGGAGGGCCCCCAGGGTCCCGGGTGCATCGGCACTCTTGGTGGTGCGCTGGAAGTGGTGTCGGGGGAAGGCGCCCAAAATCAACAACCCACAACAAGCAAATGCCACCCCTCCTGGGCAGACCATCTCACAAACTAGCACCATTGTGGTTAAGGCCAATAGCAACACTCAGATTTACTTCCAAATAGACCTGCATTTCAGCTATTTGCCTGTTGAGCAAGAGGACAGAGGAGCAAACAGAACAACTGGGAAAGAAAGGGGGGCACTTCCAGGGGAAGAGTGAGAGAGGCTGTGTGACGAACAAGGGAGAGGGCAACGTACCCGAAGGAGCTCGGCCTTGCCTCTGCTTCACTAAAGCCCTGGGCGGTCACTCCCCCCAGCTGGCCCCACAGTGCCCCGAAGCCACCTGCCCCCACCACAGAGCAGTCCTGCAAGGTTGGCACCCACGTGGATGCGCTGCAGCTGCAGCAGGCAACACACAGCCTGAAGAAAAGCTGGACTGGGCAGAGGAGGGTCGGCGCCAGCTTCCTGCCTCGCACCAGTGGGCCGGGGTTGCAGTGCCAGCAACGACGCTGAGCATGGATGCCGCCGGCACTTGCTCGCTGCTCCTTTTACTGTTGGGAGGATCTTTTCCAAAACTCGCTGGAAAAGCATCTTGGGGCAGACACAATGATTGTCGCAATGTGTGAGCCAGTACCGCAGCTATTATTTTGATAGGTATAGAACACCTGAAATAGGTCAAAATGCTACATTCGACCCAAGAGCTAGAGTTACAACCACCATCCTTTTCTCACATTTCTTTTCACCTGGGAGAAAGGTATTCAGCAGGGATGTCCGTCTTTCCTTCCAGATGTCCAGCTTGATTTATGCTTGGTACCCCTTGCGTGCTCTCTTAGGCAGCATAATGATAGCACAGATGAACAGAATTCAAAGGGGCCAATAAGACTATTATGCATTATATATTATACTAATTTCTAGTGTGTGTGTGTGTGTGTGTGTGTGTGTGTGTAATATGTATTTTCATATATTAACTGAAATTGCCATATCCACATTTGTGCAGGTTTTTTCCTTCATTCTCTGGTTTGGTTTTGTTAAAATGTGCAATAAGAGCCTGGCCAGGAAGGACGGTGCCTCACTGCTCCTGCCGGAGAAGGGGCTTGAGGGCACTGCGAGGGGGGCTGGCCGAGGCTGGGGGGGCACTGCATGCGTCCTGGCTCAGTGGGCCTGGCTGCAAAGGGGGTGACAGTGCTGCAGTCACGGAATAGCTCCATAGAAGATGCTTCGCTTTGGCAGGCATGCCTTTCTGTGTAGGGTGACAGCAACCAGTTGTTATCCTTGAATACATTACACACATGTGCGCGCGCACCCCCCCCCACACACACACACATAGATAGAAACCTAGGAACAGAGCAAGTCAGAAGGGGCCTCCACTCATGACATGCCTGCCATGAGCATGTCCAGCCTATCCTTGAACACCTGCATTGATGGGGCCTCAACCACCTCCTGTGGAAGCCCATTCCACACCCTCGGGGTCCTGACGGTCAGGAAGGGCTTCCTGGCATCCAAATGGAACCTTGGCTCCCTGAGCTTTGCTCCGTTGGAGCGCTTCCTGCCTTCCTCTGCAGGGGAGAACAGGCCTCTGTATGTTGCCAACAGATCCCCTCTGAGTCTTCCCTTCTCCAGGCTGAAGAGACCCAGTTCCCTCAGTCTCTCCTCATAGGCATCCCTCCCAACCCGGCTATCATTCCTGTGACCCTGCACTGAAGCGATGCTAACCTAACTATGCCTCTCCTATAATGTGGAGCCCAGAAATGGATGCAGTACCCCAGTTGTGGGTGCACCAGGGTTGTGTAGAGAGGTATCAACACCTCCCTAGATCTGGAAGCCACACTTCTGGCTATGCAACCAAGGGTGGTGTTTGCCCTCTTGGTCGCCATGTCACACGGCTGGCTCATGTTTAGCCTGCAGTCAACCAGCACCCTGAGGTCCCTTTCACAAGTGCTGCTCTCCAGCCACTTGTCCCCAATCCTGCACCTGTGACAGCTATTCCTGAGTCACAAGTACAAGACCTGCACTTATCTTCATTGAATGCCATCCTGTTGTCCCCTGCCCACTTCCATAATCTGTCCTGATGCTTCTGCATCCAGTCCAGATCCTTCACTATAGATGCTGATAGTCATTGCAATATCCTATGGAAAGTAATCCCACGTGTTACAGAAATACCCCTTTTTGCCTGCCTGCCTTGGTGGCCCTCCATTTGTTTGGGTATTCCAGTGTTCTGCGACTCTGAGAGAGAATGATGAATTTCTCTTCCAGCTGAAGGACCATAGTCAGATCTCCAGCATTTGGCCAGCCTTGGCCTGAACCCTCCCTGCTTCCTGGACCTTGGTTTTGACAGACAACATGGCCTGGCCAGAAGCCAACCCTTAGTGGCCTTCATCAGGAAGATGCTCCCCCTGCACATGCCCCCCTTCTGCTGCCCCAGATCCCACTGACCGCCTCTGCAGTGTCCTTCCTCAGCAGCAACTCAGCTGGGAGGCTGAGGGGCAGGTCATGAGCAGAGCATGCAGCCGAAGGCCCTTTCCGTGGTCTCTTTAGGTCCCTCCTAGGAAGGGACTCCAACCGACCTGTTGGGATTTGCTTCTGACTCAGCCTGCGGTGCCTTGGCCGGCGGGTGCGAGAGAATGTGAGTGAGTGCAAGTGCCGCAGCCACCTGAAGAGGCCCTGGCAGAGGGGCGCTAGCAATTCCCTGTGCATCTTTCTGCAGTGAACTCTGAATGGACCTTCTTTTGCCCTGCTTTACGGAGCTGGGAACATCGGGAGCTGCCCTATGCTGGGTCAGACCACGTCCTTCTGGCCCAGCATTGCCAGCACTGACTGGCGGCAGCGGCTCTCTGGATTTCCGGCCTGACCGGGACATGCCCCGGGGACTGCGGCAGAGAGCTTCTGCACGCAGAGGGCTGCTTTGCCCCTGGCCTCGGCCCTCTCCTTCATCTCCTTCATCGGAAGGGCTCCTCTGGTTGGAGGGTCGGCCAGTTCAAGTCCTGCTTCAAAAGTTAAAGAATGGCAAGAAGAGAGAGCAGTGGGGCCGTGGGGGCATCCCCCGCCTGACGGCAGACGGGGCGGGCAGGCCACAGCACAAGGCACTGCCTTGCAATGCACATTAAGCCCACCTGAGTTACACCTATGTGCACATTTCAGCAGACCTGTACTGTTTTGTCTTTTTGAACTGCACAGCCATGCGTCTCTGGGGGCCATGCTGTTTCACGCTGGGCTCCGAGGCCTGGACAGCCCCCCGAAACCACAAGCCCGCCTGAGCAGCTCCTTGTTCGGAGACAAGCGAGCCGGGTGCCCCCCTCTCCCAGGCTTCCAGGCCTGAGCCATGCGCTCGCTTTCAGACTGCCGGCAGCAGGCACCTTCCTGAAATCCATTCCCCCACCCCCCACCCCCGGGATTAGAATGGCTTAGGAAACATTTCTGCAACTCAGAAATCGGGAGCACTCTAATCACTCTGTGTCAGTCATGCTGCTGTCATTCATGCAGCCGGAGATTAAGATGGCTGTGCAGATGATCAGCGGGGGTGGGGGGTGTTGCCACCTGCTTGGGTGGAAGGGACTCGAGTTCTTCCCCCTCCAGGAATCTCTGACACCAGACGACATGTTGAGGTGTACCTTCGAGGTCTCAGCTAGGCAAATTTGATCCATATTTCACGTCCAGTCAATTTAAGACGAACACAGTATTAATTTTGTTTCATTTATTTTCCATCTATAACCAGCAGGTCTTTTAAACGTTTTCTGCAAAAGCTCTGTCCCTTTTGCAATGCGCATCATTTGGGTTTTGTGTTCCCAGTTGCAGTCTTTGCAGAAGCTGAGGCCCCCCGGGGTTCTTCAGAGGATGAGAGTCCCTCGCTTTTCCCTGCCCACGCCTTGCAATGCCTCCTGCACGAGCGCCAAAGGCAGCCTTCCGCTTGAAAGCCAGCCAGGGTGGAAAGAACCATTCTGGCCGCAAGGATGGGGGCCACCGGGCGGGCCCTCCAGCTCCACTCCCAGAGTGCTTTTCTGAGATTAGAGGTGGGACAATGCAGTAGCTCACATGAGGGTACCCAAAGCAGTGACCTCCTTCATGGATCACTGCCTTGTCGTGGCGAAGGGGCTGGCGTAGCTCAATGAAGCTATGAGCTATGCCAGGCGGGGCCACCCAAGACGGACAGGTCATAGCAGAGAGCTCTGACAAAAGGTGATCCAGTGGAGGAGGAAATGGTAACCCACTCCAGTATCCTTGCCATGAAAACCCCATGGACAGTACCAAAGTCAAAAAGATATGACGCCGGAAGATGAGCCCCTCAGGTCGGAGGGTGTCCAATGTGCTACTGTGGAAGAGCAGAGGGCTAGTACTAGTAGCACCAGAAAGAATAAAGCGACTGGGTCAAAGCCGAAAGGACACTCAGTTGCGGATGTATCTGGTGGTGAAAGGAGAGTCCGATGCTGCAAAGATCTATACTCCATAGGAACTTGGAATGTAAGATCCATGAATCAAGGCAAGCTGGACGTGGTCAAACAAGAGATGACAAGACTGAACATCGACATCTTAGGAATCAGTGAACTAAAATGGACAGGAATGGGTGAATTTAATTCAGATGACCATCAGGTATACTACTGTGGGCAAGAATCCCTCAGAAGAAATGGAGTAGCCCTCATAGTCAATAAAAGAGTAGGAAAAGCAGTACTGGGATACAGTCTCCAAAATGACAGAATGATCTCAGTTCTAATTCAAAGCAAACCATTCAACATCACAGTAGTCCAAGTCTATGCCCCAATCACTGGTGCTGAAGAGGCTGAAGTTCTATGAAGGCCTACAGCACCTTCTAGAATTAACTCCAAAAAATGATGTCCTTATCATCATGGGGGATTGGAATGCTAAAGTAGGAAGCCAAAAGATAACCGGAATAACAGGCAAGTTTGGCCTTGGAGTACAAAATGAAGCAGGGCACAGGCTGGCAGAAT